GGGAATCACATTTAGCCTCTATGACCTCGGCTCCCAAGCTTCTAGCTAGTTCGAGACCTGTAATCACGGCCTCAAACTCGGCCTCATTGTTAGTCAATTTTGTAGTTTTAATAGACTGTCTAACTATATTACCTGTGGGTGATTTTAGTACGATGCCTAGTCCGGGCCTCTTTGCGTTCGAGGCACCGTCCGTAAAGAGGGTCCAGACTCCCGAGGAGGTACCCGATTTTATCAATAGTTCTTTTTCAATCTCAAGTATGAGGGTTGGCGAAAAGTCAGCCACGAAGTCTGCTAAGATTTGAGACTTGATAGCGGTCCGGGGTCGATACTCGATATCGTACCCACCGATTTCTATGGCCCATTTGGCCAATCGACCCGAAAGTTCGGGTTTGCACAAAATGTTTCGAAGAGGATAAGTTGTTTCAACATGTATCGAATGAGATTGGAAATATGGTTTTAATTTCCTAGAGGCGCTTATTAAAGCAAGCGCTAATTTTTCTAAGTGTGGATATCTAGTTTCGGCCTCGCCTAAGGTCCGACTGATATAATAAATAGGGAATTGCGTACCTCGTTCTTCTCGAACCAGGACTCCACTTACCGCTATCTCCGAGACATCTAAGTACAAGTAAAGTTGTTCGTCCACTTTCGGGGTATGAAGCAGAGGCGGGCTCGATAAATACCGCTTTAGTTCTTCCAAAGCGTGTTGGCATTCCGGAGTCCATGCAAAGTTGCTTTTCTTCTTAAGCAGTGAGAAAAATCGGTGGCTCCTATCTGAGGATCTCGAAATGAATCGTCCCAAGGCGGTTATTCTCCCCGTTAACCTTTGCACGACCTTCACATTATCTACTACTGTGATGTCCTCGATAGCTTTGATTATCGGGGTTGATTTCGATTCCTCGGTTGGATACCATGACACCAAGAAACTTGCCTGAGCCAACCCCGAATGCACATTTTTCGGGGTTGAGCTTCATATTGTACTTCTTTAGCACGTCGAAAGTTTCCTGCAAATGTTGTAAATGGTCCTCTGCTCGCAGGGACTTAACTAACATGTCATCAATATAAACTTCCATTAATTTCCGTATTTGTTTTTCGAACATTCGATTTACTAGGCGTTGATAAGTCGCACCAGCATTTTTTAGACCGAATGGCATTACGTTATAACAATAGGTGCCGTACTTGGTGACAAACGAGGTCTTTTCTTGATCCTCCGAGTTCATTTGTATCTGGTTGTACCCAGAATAGGCATCGAGAAAACTGAGAGTCTTGTGGTCGGCCGTGACATCGATCATACGATCGACGCTAGTCAAAGGAAAGGAATCCTTAGGGCATGCTTTGTTCAAGTCTTTATAATCTATACACATTCTAAGTTTGTTTCCTTTTTTAGGGACCACCACCACATTTGCTAGCCATTCGGGGTATTTTTACTTCTCGAATGCATCCTTTTTTAAGAAGTTTGGTTACCTCGTCCTTGATGAAGGCATGTTTGACCTCGGACTGGGGCCTTCTTTTTTTGCTTTATCGGACGGAATTTTGGATCCAAGCTTAGTCTATGAGTGGCTATCTCCGGTGGGACCCCTGTTATGTCGAGATGGGACCAAGCGAAACAGTTTATGTTAGATATAAGAAATTGAATAAGCTTTTTCCTGAGCTCGGGATCTAACCCCGTGCCCAGATATACCTTTCGTTCGGGCAGATGTTTGATTAGCGTGATTTGCTCCAGTTATTCGACCGTTAAATGGGTAGCATCGGAATCATCGGGGACCACGAAGGATCGAGGGATCCCATGTTCATCATCTTCGTCGGTCTTCTGATTCTTTAGTTGGGTCGAAGCTGACGTTTGTGATTGCTATTTGGCATTCCGCTCCCCCTTCGAATCCGATCCTTTTGTCGATGATAGTGAAGATATCAGAATTACTTCATCAACGACAAACATCTCTTTCGCGGCCGGTTGCTCTCCATAGACCGTTTTGACTCCCTCCGATGTTGGGAATTTCAGAACCTGGTGGAGAGTCGAGGGTACAGCTCTCATATTGTGGATCCACGGTCTTCCAAAAAGGGCGTTATACCTCATGTCGCCTTCGATTACGTGAAACTTCGTTTCTTGGATAGTTCCGGCCACGCTTATTGGCAGAATTATCTCGCCCTTAGTAGTCTCACATGCCATATTGAATCTGTTTAGAACCAGGGTTGCGGACACGACCTGGTCCTGTAGACCGAGCTGCTCTACGACTTTCGATCTAATAATGTTGGCCGAACTACCTGGATCAATTAACACACGCTTAACTTGAGTTTTATTCATAAGTACACATATTACCAGTGCATCGCTATGGGGTTGCATGACTCCTTCTGCATCTTCATCATTAAAGGACAAAGTTCCTATGGGTGCGTAATCCTGAGTCCGGGATCGCTTCTCTCTTACGATCGACATCTTCGTGTGTTTAAGCACCGACTCCTGGGGTATCGATCCCACCAATGATCATGTGGATGATGTGTTGCGGCTCTTCTTGTTCGTTTTGTCTACTGAAACCCCTGTTTTTGAAATGGTTTTTGGCCCAATCACTTAAAAATTCTCGAAGGTGCCCTTTATTGAATAACCAGACTATCTTCTCTCTCGGCTTCCTGCAATCTTCCGTTCTGTGGCCATGAGTGCCATGATATTCACACATTTGATTGGGATTCCTCTGGGCAGGATCGGTCTGCAGAGGTCAAGGCCATTTAGTATCTTTGATGCGTTCGATAGCCGACACGATGGCAGATGCATCGATGTTGAAGTTATATTCCGATAATCGTGGTGCTTACTTAGGTCCGGTATGCCTGTCGAACTCGTTCCTGTTCATAATCCCCCGAGACCCTTTGCCTCGATCACTTCTTTTATCGCCTTGTACGGGGTTACGTCTTGGTTCGTTACCCCTATGATCTTCACTATACGGCCAGTATCGGTCCCTGATCGGTCTTTGTTCTCGGTTGATGTCTCTTTTAATAACGGACCCAGAACCCAACTGGTCGTCTTCAACTCTGATCTTCGATTGATACCGATTGTGTACATCGGCCCAGATAACAGCTGGATACTCGATAAAGTTCTGCTTCAACCGTCGTGAAGCTATCGAGCTTCGTTCGTTCAGACTTTGAGTGAAAGCTTGAACAGCCCAATCGTCTGTGACTGGTGGTAGGTCTATTCGTTCCATTTGGAAACGAGATACGAATTCTCTTAGCATCTCGTTATCTTTTTGTCTTACCTTGAAAAGGTCCGACTTCCTGGTCTCGACCTTTATGGCTCCAGCATGTGCTTTTACGAAAAAATCTGCAAGCATAGCAAAAGAATCGATACCGTTAGACGGTAAATTATGATATCATATCATTGCTCCCTTTGACAGGGTTTCACCGAATTTTTTCAATAATACAGATTCGATCTCGTCGTCCTCTAGGTCGTTCCCTTTAATGGCACATGTGTAAGAGGTGATGTGTTCGTTGGGGTCGGTCGTTCCATTATATTTAGGAATTTTAGGCATGCGGAACTTCTTGGGGATCTGTTTCGGAGCTGCGCTCGGGGGAAGGGTTTTTGTACAAATTTTTTTGAATTCAAGCCTTTCATGTCGGTGGTGCCCCCTGGAGTTATACGTTTCCACCTTTTTGTCATTTGCTTCAATCCTCCTTTCTCTTGACTCTATTCGTTTTGTCAGTTCGTCGAACATCTTAACTATTTCGGGATTAGTCCCCGATTCTTGCTCGTTTGACCTTACTACAGCTGGCCCCGTTTTGTGGGTGACTTCTTGGGGTGGACTGGGTTCGAGCCTGGTCGGTGCATGGGTTTGGCTCTGCAACTAGGCTATTGCTACTTGTTGAGCTTGCAACATTTCGAAAATCATATGCAAGCTGATTCCATTTTCCTCAGCGTTTTGGGTATTTCGAGCTGCAGATCGAGTTCCACCATGAATGCTATTTTCAGGGTTGGAACGTTGGTTTGCCTCGATAGCCACATGTGAATTAACGTCTATTGGCTCTTCGACCCGAGCTCCAACGGGATCGACAAGTGGCCTTTCACCCCCGGGCGTTAAGTTGTTGTTCTCATCTGGAAGGCCAGCTTCGTTGTCGATAGGTATGGTCATTAATTGTAAATTCGTCGTTTTCAGCCTGAAATCAAAGATACTTCCAAGAGCAAGTGTAAAATATTGTGTTTCACAGAGATTCGTACCAAATAACCACTATTATCCTTAGCCCCACGGTGAGCGCCAAACTGTTTACCCGAAAAACGGATATAATTGAATTTATACGTAGTTCTAAGGATACGCGTATAGCTTGGTATAAATCGGAAAAGTATGTAGAAAAATATCGAATATTGACTGTAAAAAAAGAATGAAATACAAACCAAACTAAGTAAAAAACGATTTACGGATAAGCAAGATGAGTCAATGTACAAGGCTTACAAAAGGATAATTTCTCCTGTATCTATATGTGAATATCAATAATCTTTTCAATTTGGGAGTGTGTAGACGCCTTAATGTTCCATTCTTTTACGGAAATGATAGCCACTCTTTTATAGTGGAGGGATCCTACTTTGAATATAATAAAAAATATATAGTGGGGATCCCATGATAGATTAGTTAATTTAGCTTTTCCTTAATTCCTGCCGAGATTCTCTCCCCAAGTGCGGCTACAACGGCTCTTGTCTCTTAGCTCGATCTTGGTTGGACTTGATATTGGTCGATCTCCATATTTCGAGCTCGATACTGACTCGAGCTCGATGTTGACTCGGGCTCGGGTCTTGAGTTCGATGATGCCACTTCACATCATAGTTCTATTTGGACTCGGACTCGATAATGACTTCGAGCTCGGTATTGATCGGTCCTTGAATCTTGAGCTTGGTAACCTGGCTTCGGATCTCATCTCGGTATTATGAAAACGATCCTCGGTCCATCATGTTCCAATCTTGACTAATCACATGAAGGGCAAAACCGGTTTTGGCCGTATACAATTATCTTGGATTCATGGCTGTTTTGCAGGTAAGAAACTGGCAGGGAGCATAGTGAAGGAGAAACTTGCAGCATGCGTTAATCGAGTACCAGGCAAGCACAACTCCTTATTAGTGCTCTTACTAGCTGATGTAACCTTCGTTTTGCTTTCTTGCATCAACTGGATGATCCACTTTTCAAAGTATATTTGCCGTCATTTGCCTGTTTAGACCTTAGCAATTCAACTTTAGTTCAACATGCTTGCTATTACCGCTGTGCTTGAGAAAGTGTGGTTCACTCTTGTTGTCATGAATTGAATTATAGTACAGAGTGCTAATTCCTCGTCATTTCCTAGTCGCACTTAGCATTGGAACTTAGAAATTTGATTCATGTAATGTCTCGTCAATGATATAAGCATTATGTTGGCTACAAGATTGTTAACCATGGAGTGCTTTAGATTTTTTAGTTTTTTTATAATGTGCGATAAAGAACTTGGATATATAAACTCAATATATTGCTGTTTCACTTGTTTATTGCTCGTGGTGTTGTGTGCTTTTGACTACACTCCCTTTCCGGAGATTGAACTTCATTGAGATGTTGGTTCCATGGTTTTTCTTTGATGTGGTTTGGCTGCTACGACGTTGAAAATATTAATGTCCACTTTTCTCGTTTTCTCTTAGAGAAACTAGATTCTCAAAAGATCAATACTTTAAATAATTGAAGGGGGATATGCATTGAAATTTCGTAAAATGTCAAACACCAGGGTAATGTGGAATGTGTGTAGGGGACCTTTTTATTGGACATGTAATCTGAATGGCAAATCGAGAGGAGCGGCTTTTAGGACTTAATTTCTCATTCTAGGGTGTTGTGTCCGGATAAGCCTCTGATAATAGGGAATAAATTTTGGGTGGAAAGGGTTAAAGACAGTAGGATTTGGTAATTGAACAAGGAGATTATCAATAATTTTTTTTAAAAAAAAAACGAGGTGTAAAGAGCACGGCGCTGTTCCTGGGGCATGTGTACAGTTTATGCATATTTTGAAAGAACGGTGTAAAGACTAGCTTTTGGGACCAGATCCTTTTGATAATTTGGAGTAGGTAGGAGTTGCAGGATGAAACATGATGTTTTAGCGACTCAGATAGTGTAATATTGATCTTTCCCTTGTATCATATGAGAAGTTCTCATTATGTTTGTGGCATTGCTTCAAATTAGGTAACCGTTATTTGGGAAAAAACTAATGTGCAAGTTAACCATGCATGTGGCTCTCAGCATTCGCTTACATGTTTAGTAGACTTTCGGTGGCAGAGTTACTCGTATGCAAGCAAAAATTAATAATTTTGCTGGTCTCTTCATTAGCCTTCTTTCCTAAGTTGATACTTTTTTACATTACAAGTACTTCAAGAAGCTTGTGGATGCATAAGTGAATTGATGTGCTGTGTGTGCAGGCGTTGAATCAGTGTACGAGTGGGAAGGAGAGGTAAGACTCTTTGTCAATCTGGCTTTTCTCCTCCATGCTTCAGTTACCAGACAGTTCAGCTTTGATTGGGACCAATTTTTCTCAGTACATTATAGGTGTCGTCTTGTTTCCTAAGAATAATTTTGTTTTTTGTTGTTGTTAACAGGTACAGACTGATTCTGAAGAGCTGCTTATAATCAAGACCAGGGAATCCCTTTTGGAAGCTCTTACAGAACATGTGAAGGCCAACCATGAATATGAGTAAGTCTTTACATTTTGCTCTTGTTTTCTGCATTGGTTAGACAAACTTGGCACAGGTCATCCTTTTTGAATATCTGGTTCTAATGTTAAAAAAAGGGAATTAGAAGGAATACAGATTTTTCATGTACAATAATATGTGTGCCATATGATATCTCATCCTTCTATCAACCGGTGATAGCCTGCAATTTCTGCTCCAAAAATTTCACACTTATTATTAGTCTTTGGTGCAATAAGCTAATTGTTATCTTGCTCAAACATTATTACCCGAGAAGAGGGTGTAAAGACTGCAGACAGAATATTCTGATCCTTTCTTTTGCTTGTTGCTTGCAGTGTTCCTGAAGTGATTGCCATGCCAATAGTTGGTGGCAGCCCCCAGTACCTAGAATGGCTCAAGAACAGCACTAGGGAAAAATGATTAAGCCAAGACAAGCTTGTTCAACTTTAGCCTGTAGTTATGTTGGACAATGTCCCTTGCTCCTATGTCTAGCGCTTATCAAAGACAAATATTAATGTTTATTTCGTGTTTTTGTCTAATAGTTATTACTCAAAACAGTCAAACTATGTGGGTAGTCCTGAACTTGATGCGAGCTCTCATATCTATCTCTAATAATATCTTAAATGCCTGTGTTTATTTATGGCATTGCTTCTTGTATTCCACACAGGTCTACAGTGCTACACTACCTCCTCTTCCTCCTTTTCCTTATTTTTTTTTTGGCTTCAAACAGTGTAATACTACTGCTAGATCTCCATGTGGCATGATAAGGAATCCTAGAAAAGATCGATTGAGACTCTCTTCGGTCTGCATGCCTGGGAGCTGCTCAAACAAAGAAGAGTCTGGTCCAGTCTGAGTTCAGGCACGGCCGGTCCGTAATGGCGCTGGGCGAGGGTGCCACTATGCCCCTTAGTGACTCGAACGGTCCTTCGACATCCTTTTAAATTATGAATTTGGAGTGCAAACCTTACCAGTGTGTTGAATATGAAGTTTATGAAGAACTCGTTGAGCTTTTGTTAGGTATGTCTCCCAATTTTTCTCATGAGAATAAACTGCTGTGGAGGTATATACATGTTTGTATAATGGTGAAGGGACGAGACTCTCAGAAAAATTATGGGTACCAGTCTTCTCTCTTATCCATCGACTAATATTCAGGAAAGCTCTTTATCCTCTTGCTTGAATTGAAATACTTTGGGGGGTTTGTGTCGAAAAATTGTTTTTATCTGAAGTCGAAGTTGGATCTCCTAGCCTCTTATTTTTTATTTCTAAGAATTGGATCTCGCTATTTATAGATCAGCAGTATCACCATTTGCAAAATGCGTATTCCATTAAGACATGTTCTCATGATCCATCTTGAAAAATTATGTACTTGAAAAACACAGAATTATTCAACCAAAGATCACCGAGGTAGTCATTTCGGTTATTCCAACAAAAACTACCAAGGTAGTCATTATCAAACTAAAAGAGAACATAGTTATAGCACCAAAAGCACATTTATATGAATACAAACTTGAAATAATGCTCTAATCACGATTTGCCTGGGCGCAATTATGAGATTTAAGTTGTGAAACTTGTAGTATACTATTTATGAAGTCGTGAAACTTGTAGACTAATTTATAAAGCAGCTATTGCGGTTAATACCAGAGCTCCAACGTATTATAACAATGTCACAGAGAAACAGAGAGCAACATTCCTTGATTCCTTGTGACAGCAGGTAACCAACCACCATGGAAGTTTGTAAAATAGTCATCAAAGCTTCTCGTTTTCTCAGAACGAAGAAACTAAAAAACTCATAAAAAGCACACCCATTTAAATTTTCTTATAATAACTCAAGCTTACACAATACCAGGTTTGACTGTTCGCGGCTAAAAAAAGGAAAAGGAAATTCTAACGCCAGCAACTGATACCAACATAAAAGAAATGCAGAAAATATGGCAATTTAACTCCTAGCTTTTCCAAGTTCCATACCACCATAAGTAAAATATCGAATACATAATGTCAAGAGACAAGAGGAGCTGTCCTTTTTCTTATACAATAAGTCAGCAAAAGGCAAATGACATTTGGAGCCCACCCCTTAAAAGAGATGATGAGTCGGCATACAATCAAGACTCATCCAACTGATCCTGCATTAAGCACATGACAACAATTAAAGAAAGTTTTATTAAGTAGAGAAATCAAGTTTCAGAGTTAAACTACGCGTTTGCCTCAACAGAAGCACCTACCTGAGCATCTGAGGTCCAAAGTGTGAGATTGTCTCGTAGGAGTTGCATTATGAGGGTGCTATCCTTGTAAGATTCTTCACCTAAAGTGTCCAGCTCAGCTATGGCTTCCTCAAAAGCCTAAACAGGTAGACAAACATATCAACCAAATGCAATATGATTATGGACCCTCTAACACAACTAGACTAACTGGCGTCTATAATGGAGTAATAGATATATTAAAGACTGATGCAAATCGTAAATGATCCATCTGCAGGTTAGCTTCAAAATTGATTGAAGAGGGACAAATACAAGGCTCACACTCGTGCCCAACTAGCGCCTTAGGTTAACCTTGACTATAAGAGCTGCACATGAAAAGCACATAAAATTCATAGCATATCTGCAACAGAAACACCAATTTTTACCTGTTTTGCCATACTACAAGCTTTGTCAGATGAGTTCAGAATCTCAAAGTAGAAGACTGAAAAATTAAGTGCAAGACCCAGCCTTATAGGATGTGTTGGAGGCAGATCTGCTAGTGCAATTTCCTTCAATAATAACAAAGAAAAGAAAATAGAATCAGCAAAACTGAAAGTCCCAACCATAAGATGGAACTTTGCATACAACACCAACTGCAAACATATGATCATTCAAGATTTGACCAACTGTCGAAACCGATAAACACAGGCATGCCAGACTAACATTTTTCGAAAATTAACTGAATGTCCAGAGGGAGCCAAAACCGAGAAATAAAAACTCCAGGTTAAATCAACTGAATGTCCTCTATACAGTTTCTAAATACCTGCAGCATAATAAGAAAGCCTTTGCATGTGAAATTAATTTTGTTATTCAGACACCCAATCTCACGACAAGAAAATTGAACCTAGAGGGTTTCTAACTACATCAATGATGCAACTAAAGCTAAACTGGCTTAAGCCTAACCGATGTGCATATCCTTGGATATTCACTAACATTGACCAGTCTACAACTGATCTCCTAACTTTGCACAGCAAGGACTTCTTATAATTTCAGTCCAATCTTTAATTTCAAACAAGCATAAAGACAAATTGGTGTTGAGAGACCCTTCTTGGATGGAAATGACACTTCAACTGATACAAATATGAAACACCACACCAGAAAAGCGACATCTCTTAACAAAACAGAGTAAGGCTACAATCTGCAGATCACAAAGCTTTGTCCCTTCTTTTCCTCTTAGTTGTCGTAATTTTTTTTATAAGATTCTTAGTTGTCTTTCAATGGTCAAAGATGGCAATGCAAAGGAACAATCAACTGAAGATGCAGCTTAAACACTCATCTCGCCACCTATCAACATTTTAGTAAAATCTGTGATGGAAAAAAGATGCAACAGAAAAATCGAAACTTACACACTAATATAAGAATCTCCACCACAATCTCAACTCAAAAGAACTAAATCCAGATCACAATGGCTAAATTTTTACAATCCATATTGAACTCTAACTACAATTTCAAGATGCATTATCGCCATCGCAATACTAATCCTGCTATCACACAAGTAACTAGGAACACCTAGATGCAATTCATTTCTCACAATTTCATCCATATTAGTTAGGTTAATATATATGTAACAGAAAAAACTAAACTGCAATAGAAAATCAAACCCCATTTAACATTCTCCACAACAGTCTCAGCACAAATACAGAAAATCCAGATCAGAATGGCTAAAATTAATTCTCTATGTTCAAGTCGAAATCTAGCTACAGTTTTCTACATTTACTTCACGATCTATACGATGATCCTACTATCATAACAAGTAATTAAAACATCCAAGACTTAGTTTGCCCTAATCTGAAGAACAGTAAAAAGCACAAACTCAAAACCTAGAAAAAAGTCAACTAAAACAGTACCTGAGCAGCCTTATAAGAATTCATAGTGTCTTCAGCAGCTTGCTTCCGCTCATCTCCAACCTTAAACTCCGCTAGATACCGGTAATAATCACCTTTCATTTTGAGGTAAAACACCCTCGATTCACCCGTAGAAGCAGACGGCACGAGATTCGACTCGAGCAACTTGAGTATACCAGCACAAACCTCCGTTAACTCATTCTCAACTTTACCTCTGTACTCCTTAACGAGCGACACGTGTTCTTCGTTCTTACGCGATTCCTCTTTCTGTTCAATGGAGGATACGATACGCCACGCGGCACGAAGAGAGCCGATCACGTTTTTGTAAGCGACGGAAAGGAGGTTTCGTTCCTCGACGGTGAGTTCGGCGGCGGGAGTGGAACTGAGGACTAGTTTGTCCATGTACTGGACCATTTCTTCATAGCGTTCGGCTTGTTCGGCGAGTTTGGCTAAGTAGAGGTATTGTTCGCGGCTGAGATTGTCTGTGAGCAGAGCCGCCATTGTTGTTGTTGTAGAGAGAGAAAGTTTAGGCGAAAGAGAATGGATTCTCGACAGAGTGTGTGTGTGCGTGAGAGAGAGAGAGACTTTTATGTGCTTTTTCTGCCCTTTTTCTTTGGCTTGTTTTGATTTTTCTGGGAGAATATGTCTCGGCTTAATAACCCCTAAACTTTACGCGGATTATTAGTTACATCCTAAACTATTCGTGATTTTAATTAAACTTGACTTTTTAGGAGCAATTATCTCGTTGGATGCTGATGTGGTGAAGAATATTGGTGCAAGCACATGAGAGTGAAGAAAAATTAAAAAATCAGTTTTCAAGTAGGTTATTTTTTAACTTTTAATTGTCATATAATCATATATAATAATTTATTTGTTACAAATATATATTTCTTCTTGCTTCATCTTAACATATAACATGTACTTTACTCTGACTTTTATTCTTTTTAATTTTTTCTATAGATATAATGTCTATTTGTTACAACGACATATTTCTTCTTTTTTTAGGCCAAATTTGTTAAAGTTTGGTTGGAACTCCGTCATTTTAGCCAAATAGAAAACTTTTAGCAAATATAATGGAGTACTAGTTGTGTATTTTCTGTTATTTTTTTCTTTAGATTAATGTCTATTTATTTTAATTGTGTGTTTTTATTTTCGAGTTAAATTAGTAAAAAAAAATGACTACAACTCCATTATTTTTTACCAAATAAAAAGGTATAGCCAAAATAATAAACTTGCAATTGTACACTCTTTTTATTTCTTCTTTTGATGCAATGACTATTTGTTTCAACTATGTATTTTTTGTTTTCCGGTAACATCTGTAAAAAATATATTTTAGAGCTCCATAATTTAGAGCTAAATAAAAAATTATAGTCAAAATAATAAAAATCAAACTATATATTTTTTATATCCTTTTAGACGCCTTGACTGTTTAATTCAACTGTATAAATCTTTATTTTCAGGTCAAATTCAAGAAACAATAACTAAAACTTTATTATTTTTAGCCAAATAAAAAATATTAGCCTAAATAATGTAGTTCTAGCCAAGTTTTATTATAAATATTATTCGAAAAAGATTATCTAAAATAGTAACACACTTAAAAAGGTATAAAATATATTTTATTTTTCAAAAAATGCCATATGGACAGGAAAATTCACGTGGCATGCGAGTGCATGTCACTTTCTTAGGATGAGATCGTCCAAGGGGGTAACAACTATCGAATAACCAAGTACATGGTGTAATTAAGACCACGAATAATTCAAGAATATAATCAATAATACGTGCCAAATTTAGGGGGTTTTAAGGTATTTTGCCTATAAGTACATACTTAATTTAGGGGAAAAATTAGTCTATTGTTTCAATTTATGTGACTGAGTTTACTCAGTATGGTACTATATAAGACAAAAGGAATTTTAAATTTTTTAGTCTTGAAAACTTAAAAGGCTAAAAGTTTATAATATGAGACTTTTAATTTATGTAGCTATAATAAGAGTAATATAAGTAAGATAAAAAATTTAAAGTTAAATTATTTTTAAATATATAAATATATTATTCATCAAATAAGAAAAATATATTACATAAAATTAAATGAGAGAGATTACTAAGTACTGTTAACAACTAAAAAAGAGAAAAACTTATGTTAACATCATTGTAAAAGAAAAGGGGTTAAGTATTCAAATAATAACTGTCAAATAATAGCGCTATTTTAGTCCCCAAATACAAAAGTATACGAGATACTTAAAAACCTATTTGGAAGGCCATATTGTAATTGAATTTAAATGTAATATGATATAATTATATAATTTTAAATTATTTTTTTATTGTCTGGTTATTGGTTAAGTAGTTAATTAATTAGCATGAAGTATGGTATAATCGAGTATCGAGGAGAGCGAGTAGACTTTCCAATTTTCAAAGAAAATGTAAAAATTGCTTGTAATTACATCATATGTATATGCAGATATATTTGTTACACATTAAGGTTTTTTAACCTGCTCATCTTTTTTTTTTATATCTATTGTTAACTTTTATTTTAAAATAAAAAATAGATATAGAACTATATAATTTATACATATGCAGTTAAATATGATATTTGAACTTACACTGTAATTATTTCATAGAAAACAAACAAGTCATAATTACTATATCGTTAATAACTAGGTTGTGTAATTTCCAACTACGCCATTAAAATTTCAGCTAAAATCAATAACGGACAAGCTATATTGTTAAATGAAAAAACAATTAGAGATTAATTACAATTAAATAATCAGCTTTACAGTAAAAAAGTTAAATGCATAAAATTCAAAACAAGAATGGGCTTTAGCTACCTATACCATTGAGCCATCTGGTTGCTGCCCTCCAAAGTACTTACTTTTGAAAATTCATTTTGACAAACTCCTTTGGTGGGATAAGTATAGAGATTTTTTCATTCTTATATCATATTTTAAATTTATTCGTTTTTTCTTATAATTTTTATACAATTGAATCAATAAGTGTCCTTCCATCCTCTTTTCTTTCTCTTCTACTCTTTCCATGTTCCCTGTCGCCTCCCCCCTAATCCCTATAGTTATCGAAAAACGGTCCATTACATTTCTGAATCAAACCTCAGTACAAATCAAATGACCTCGGTCATTTTCATTTCTTAATTTTAAAATTATTGACCCAAGCCCTAACAAATCATATTCAATCGCCTCCAAACTTCGGGTTCAGCTTTGTATTAGTATTTCCAACAAGAATTTATGCTATCTAGTTAATTTCTCACATAAAATTTGAATCTCAAATGAAACTTAGCTTCTCCAAAGTACGATGATGACGTTTTTAATGGTGAAACTCAAACTTTCTCTACTCAAATCATTCAGTTCACGTCAATATTCAAGTTTTCAGTCCAAATAAACATGAAGTAGTGCACACAAGTTGATTTGGAATTCATTCTCTTATTTTCTTTCTTTAACAAATCGAGTAAAAAAAGAATAATGTGTGGCACAGCATCATACAAATTAAAAATAAATCTCATACATATTTGATACAAAGTTGATACACCTACAACAACATACAAACTAAAGATAAATTTCGTACAACTAATTATATAGCATACAACCTATCCACAACTTTTATACATCATTCTTACATAGTTAAATACAACCATAATATTATACAACCTCAATATAATTTTTATATAATATGTCTTTTGTATATATTTTGTTATGTGGTGTGTTCTTGCCTCTCTGAAATTCCAATCAAAATTTTCTCTCTTAATACAAAGTTGATACATATCAATAATTTTATGCAAAAAGAGTATTTATAACTTAAATACAAATTTCATATAACGATTTATATAGTATACAACTTATTTTCAACTTTCTTACATTCAAATAATTTTTTTTAACTACACTAAATACAACTTAAATGCAATTTGCATATCTTCTTCTTCTTCTTCTTCTTCTTCTTCGTCTTCTTCTTATGTGATGTGTTCTTCTACCTCTTTGAAATTCCAATCAAAATTTTCTCTCTTAATACAAAATTGATACATATCAATAATTTTATACAAAAAAGAGTATTTATAACTTAAATATAAATTTCATATAACGATTTATATAGTATACAACTTATGTTCAAATTTCTTACATTCAAATAAAAAATATTTAACTACGACTGAATACAACTTAAATAAATGATTCGAAACTTTTTAATGGTTGCCAGTGGTGGAGAGTCAAACATCTTCAAATTTTATTGATTCACAATTTGAATTTGACCACCAACTATGCAACATGAAAGAAAATTGCTAAGTTAAAACTCTATATTCAAACACCTGAAATCCATTGATGAATTTCATGAAGAAAAAAGGAGAAAGGAGATGAGAAAAGAGAGAACCAGAGAAGATCGAAGAAAAAAATAAGGCTGATGAAAGAGTAGAGACGAGGAAATATAGAGAGAGGGAGGGGGGAAATTGGATACTTATTAAGGGATAACTGACATTCCCTAATATTAAGATATACTCATTTAAAACTCCACAAATTTGTATATAAGTGGTAAATTGTATATCAACTTATAATTAAATTAAAACTTCAATAGTACAACAACAACAATAACAACAACCCAGTAAAATCTCACTAATGGGGTCTGGGGAGGGTAGTGTGTACGCAGACCTTACCTCTACCCCAAAGGAGTAGAGAGGCTGTTTCCGAAAGACCCTCGGCTCAAGAAAATAAAAAGACAAAAAGACAAAAGGAGATAATATTAGTATCACCACAACAATCATAGGAAAATAGGAACACCATGAAATGCAGAAGAAAGATGCAAAGCAAAAACGATAGCTAGTAAATAGGACATGTACTGAAAAGCGAAGTAGTAAAACACAACATTGCCACTAGCTATCTTAGACAAAAACCCTACATGGCTAGTCCCACAATAGTACGAAGTAAGTCAAGACTCAACTACATCCTAACCTACAACTCTAATACTCGACCTCCACATCTTCCTATCAAGTGTCATGTCCTCGAAAATATGGAGCCTCACCATATCCTGTCTGATCACCTCTCCCCAATACTTCTTAGGCCGCCCTCTATCTCTTCCCGTGCCCTCCACAACTAGCCGCTCACACCTCCGTACCAGAGCATTTGGGATTCTACTTTGAACATGTCCAAACCATCCAAGCCTCGCTTCCCGCATCTTGTCATCAATGGGAGCCACGTGCACCTTCTTCCGAATAACATCATTCCTAATCTTATCTATCCTAGTGTACCCGCACATCCACCTCAACATCCTCATTTCTGCTACTTTTATCTTATGGATATGTGAGTTCTTAACGGGCCAACACTCAGCCCCATACAACATGGCCGATCTAACCACCACTTTATAGAACTTACCTTTGAGGATTGGTGGCACTCTCTTATCACACAGGACTCCAGATGCTAACATCCACTTCATCCATCCTACCCCAATACGGTGTGTGACATCCTCGTCGATCTCCTCTCCCCCCTGGATAACCGAACCAAGGTACTTGAAGCTGCCTCTACTCGGGATGACCTGTGATTCAATCCTCACATCCACACCTACTTCCCCTGGCTCAGCGCTGAATTTACACTCCAGGTATTCCGTCTTTGTCCTGCTCAGCTTGAAACCCTTAGACTCAA